CAAGAAAGATCTCCCCGGTGAATGAAAAAAGGGGAGCCAACAACAAGATAATGAGATGCCTCAGAACATCCAGATAACATCGCCACCGGATCCGCAACATTCGTACTAACGGATAGAAGACATGTATAAGATCTCAAATGAAATGTTATGTACTCAAATGGTGATTACCTGCACAACTACAATTATTTTAAAGTACCCCTGCACGTGCACTATAAATTGTATACACATAGTTACACTAAAAGGGGAAAATATCATCAAAACCCACATGGGCCCCGGCGAGCATGTTATAGATACACAAATGACGCCTAGGGATGTTGCGCGGGTTGACAAGTGAATTCAAGTTCGAACCCGATCCTTCTATATGGATCAATAGAAGTCGACAGAGTTTGAACCTTCAAACAAAATACACGGTTGTAGCGACCGGTGTATTTGTTTAAATACATTATGTTAGGCCTTAAAGGTCTTTAACAAAAAAAATTCACTAATAAAGGCACAAAGCCTACGAAACCCGATCCTCCTAGGCAGATAAATAGGAGTAGACAGGATTCGAATCATAAAATAAATATGTGGTCATGAATTTGACCGGAATATTTATTTTATACATTCATATTAGGCCTTCAAGGCCTTTATCAAAGAAAATTCACAAACAAAGGCATGAAGCTTACGAAACCCGATCCCCTATCAGCAAGTTGATAGGGTCGACAAGGTTCAATCAAATGGAAATGATCACAAACACCCCGATGATGGCCGTGTTGAACGATGATCTCAACTGGAGGGGTTAATTTCAAGCATTTTCAAATGCCTCCCAAAAGTGCACTCAAAATCCAAAAATTCTAAAGATCATCTATAATCCAGAAATCCAAAGATATTTAAAACTGAAATAAATCCATCAATAACTTAAAGAAAAATCCATCCACCCTCCGCAACAGTTTGTTGTGGTGGATAAATTAAAAACTACTTCAGTTCACAAAGAGTCAAATGCCTAGTCGAAAATATCACTAGGATCCATTCTCAAACAATCTCCTGCCAGTAAAGACGTGGTACGTGTCCTCTGACCGGCAGTTTTGCCATCAAATGGCACCGCAGTATAAATGGTTATGACCCGGGACCCTCTGAACCGAGTGATTTTGCCGCCAAATAGCACCATAGATAGCGGTTATGGACAACGCCAATACGCTCCTTATTGGCATCAAATCTTTGAGATATGAATCAATAGGATATGACTGATAGGGCAAAAATCCCTCTGTTAGCTAAGGTGGATTCAAATTTGTCCCCTTAGACAAATATCCATCCCAGGTCATAATGTCCCCTTGGACGAAGCAACCCATGGCTGCCGACAAGGATCCTTCTGTCAGGTTGGGTCGACTACCTCCTCTGACTAAGTAGACCAGGAACCACGATGGCCCGGGACGACGGAACCATGGGATCTTGATCGGGCCCATCATCCATTCCCCCACCATCCGCTTTAAGTACACGATGGTGAAATTTTTTTTTTAAATATCAAATTTCCAAACATTCAAACTTTCCAAATTCTCAAATTCTCCAACTATTTCCAAACCCATTGCTGCTACTATACACTTGATACTATATATCTATGGATATAATGTATCTGATTGACGACTAGCCTTAATCGAAAGTTCTCTCTCGTGATCGGGAGGGGTAATTAACTATAGGGGCTTGCGCCTATAGGAAACCAGAACTCAGATCATAAAGTCCTCGCAAAATGAGGGCGAAATCTCTGGGTAGTGTCTTATCTACAAACCCATCTGCCTTCCAAAATTTACCTCGGAACTTAGTTCGTTAAAACTCCCTCGCCGAATAAATAGAAAAGCGGGCGGAGGCCAGGGCCGAATTTTCGGAGCCCACAGAATGATATCTATATAGACTTTTGGATATGTAAGCAAATTTTAAAAGTTTTAGTAAAACTCTGCATTTACTTCAATTGTATTTGATGTTCATTAAGGGATATTACATGCTTCCCATTATTAATTATGGAATTTGATAGGTTGGCAAATTAGGAGAGTCTAAATATATTTCTTTTACTCACTTTATTCTGAAAGTAGTGGTTCGGAATTGGTGTTAGTAAGAAGGAACCAGTTTAGATTTCCCTTCTCTGTTAACTCCAGATTGACTGTTAGAGGGTAGGCCAAACTATGTGTCAGTTGAGGCTTAATGCCTTGAGGTAGTTTGGGGCGCTGCCTCGATTTAATTGATTTTATAAAGTTCCGCCAAGCCAAGCGCACCTATTAGATTTAGGGCTTCGTTAGTTTCGAAACCGTCGTTCCAACCTTCGTCAACTCGCCACAAAGGTAACAATCTGTTATGGCTTCATGTAAACTGCCTCTGCTTTGCCTGCTTCTGCTTTGCTTTTTTGTGTAAGGTCAAGTTCTTTGTGGCAGGTTGAGTTCTTTGTAGAGAGGTAATGATCTTTCTTCGCGAGACTGCTTTAATATTAAGCTCATTAAATTAATTAGCAGACACTAGACAATTGTATAAAGAATGGTAGAATGTCAACTTCACAAGTCATGTAATTTTGCTTTATCCTTCTCTTTCTATTCCCTGTAAAAGTTGGTATGCACCAACCTATTTGTCACTAACAAAAAGTCTGTTTAGCTAATTATCAGGCCAGATTTTGACTAGTAGTCAAACTACTCCTAAATTTATTTTCCATTTCCAAGGTCGAGCCTCTACAAGTTCTTTTGGAGCAAGTGGGAATAAATATTAGACTATGGAGGAATCCATTCTCATTTATATGATATTTCATATCATTGATTATTCAAAGTAGAATAGATTATTAGCATCAAGTTCCTGTTTGGAGGCTCAAAATGCATCTTTATTTGGGAAATTAATCTAAGTGGAAATTAAAAAAAAAAAATGTAATCTCATGTGGCAGTTTGTTATGCTGAAAGATAAATGAAAAAAAGTTGATGGTTTTTCAATGAGACAAAGATCAAAAGTTTTCAGCGGAACAGCTGAAAATGAAAATCTTCTCTCCATACTTTTGACTTAATTTGAGTGGAAACTTAGCATTTATTTTTAGCGAGGGTATGCCTCGGCCATATTTGGAATATCATAGTGTTAAGAAATTAACATTTCAATTGTAGTATTCCGGAAATGCTAATGATCTGCGCATATAATTTTTCTATGGACTTTTTTTTTTTTTTTTTTTGTAAAACATATATGTTTACTTTACAGGCAAGCTTGTGGAGGATCCCTTACTGAAGAAGTTCAGAATTTCATTTTAGAGGTGTGTGTTGAAAATTCCATATGTTTCGAAAATTATTTTTGCATGTTAAGAATTTGGTCTACTTCTAAGCTTTATTTTTTTCCTCTTATGAGAGGATAGAAGTCTATCCCAAATATTTTATAAATTAAAAGTAGTGCGCAAGGCGAGTTACAAATAAGTAGATGCATGACTAGTTATAAGAACAAAATAATTATAGATAGAATTTTATATAGAGAGCTAGTGAATAGTTAATTTAAATGTCACATGCTTGACTTGAAATTCTGAACAATGCTATTACAGGTCACATGCTTGACTCGAAATTCTGAACAATGCTGCAGGAACTAGGGAGCCTATTGCTTGAGCTAGAATTTTTTGTGATATGCTTTGAAGTTTCCCTTGAATTTCTTCATATTGCTGTTAGAGAAGATTTTGAAGATGAATTTGACATAAAGTATGAGGAATCTTCTGAATACTGTCCAAAGTGACGATGAGACTGCTTTCAGTCTTAATTCTAGGGACATGTTTAAGTTTTGAGTATTTAATTTGAATATTTTGTTTTAGTAACATTTACTTTAAAACAAGACATTATGTTTATAGTTTACTGAATATTTTGTCATTTTTATGAGTTATTTATAATTTTTAGTACTTTATTTTTTCATTTTATTGCTTACTCCTTGCCTCGCTTAGAAAAAAGACTTGATTCCCAATTTCGCATTTTTAACCTTGGTATAACTAGCACATTATCCATGAAGTGCTTAAACATTTTAAAAGCATCAGATTTAGAAGGGTCACCTCGTTAAAAGCATCTATGTGATAGGAAACACTTGTAGATCTCAAGTATTTCCTATCAATCTTCAGAAAACAGTGAGAATTGTCCACAAAAATCCACACAAAACCACAAAAAAAATAGATAATTTGTATTATTTGATGAAAGGGAAACAGAAAATACCAGGATACAATTGATCCTCTATTCGAGAGAAGGATCGATCTCTCCCATTCTCTAGACGCCGCTAGAGCTCAAAGAAAACCTAAGAGATCTCAAATTTCCGCCAAATTCAAGATGTCCTAACCCCAGGAAAACAAAGTATTTAATGCATACAAATCAAAAAGAAACCCCTAAACAATCCCTACATTCAAATTTCCCTCCCAAATCCCTCAAAAACCCTTCTTAAAATGCTTTGTTAGCTCCCGCAATTCGTGCAACTAGAGCAAGAGGCGGAGATGTTCCGCCTCGTTCGCGCCTGGGCCGGTCCCGCGTGGACCGGCTAGACCAGTCTAACACTATGCTTCTTACTTTGCACATAAACCAATCATTCCGGATAAATTATTATGTTCACTTTTATTTTATTTTAAGTTTATGCATTCATATAGCTTGATCATTGTTAGCTTGCACATTTAGCAGGATCTGGTCACATATTAAAACTAAGGGAATATTTGTACGATAGCAATATCTAAATAAACAAGTTTTTACTCTACAGAAGGTAATATTAACCTAGGGTGACACAAATGATCAAAGTTGACCAGCTAGAAATAAGTTAGGATACACAGACGCCATGTAACTACAAAAGCTAAAAACAGTATAAAATTATCAGCAATAATTAAAAATGGATCTGATGTTATAATTATGTATATTTCGATGGACCATGTTCAAGAATCATAGCTATTAAACAGCTTATTTATAAGATAAAATGTTACGATACATGCGTATTTAAGAACACTGCTACCTTATATAATACAATGCATGAATTCATTAAGCTGGATTGAACACAAATACCATGGGAAGGCGCAAGGAAGGAAATCCTGCAGAAGAAAATTCGTAGTCATTGCTCTGATATTTGTAAGGACTATCTGCGTACCCACCATTTGTAAGAGATACTTTTGGACTAGCTGTACACGAACAAGCAAAGTTGTCATTTCTGGCAGCCTGCGAATGATCCAAATTCATCACGGATAGTCTCTTGACTTTCTTTTCTTGCACCTACAGCAAAAGAAAACTAAAACAATCGATCATAAATGCTTAGACAGAACTGAAAATAAAGAGCACTAATTCTACCTGCAAATCTACAAGGATCCATGCATGAGAGATAAAAAGCATGCAGTCATTCAGCAAGATATTTAACTAGTCAAGGATAAAAAGTATAAAGCTCCGCTGCACTAAATGAAATAAAATAGCAAACGTAGTTCGTGCAGTCATTCAACAAGATATTTCACTAGTCATGGATATGTGTATAAAGCTTGGATGCTCTGAATGAAATAAAATAGCATAGTTCATGCAGTCATTCAGCAAGATATTTAAATAGCCATGGATAAAAACAGAAAACTCCCATGCACTGAATGAACTAAAATTAACAAACATAGTTATTTCTTCAAATTGTTGTAGCATAAAATAATCCAAGGTTTAAAATTACACAATTGGGTATTGAGGCGTTTTTCATTCGTGAGGTGGACCATAAGTCTCAAGGCGTTTTGATGCGTAAAATTCAAAATCCAAAAATTGTGTTAAGTGAAAATTAAGGTTAAAAGAGTCTTTTTGTATAATATCAAAATAATATGTTAAATAATGATATAATAACTTTCTATGAACTATGAAATAACAAATTGGAATACATATGAAACTAAAAATTACACAAGACGTAAGTGACAAGTGATAAATTGCAAGAAACATAATTGAAATCTAATGTTACAAGTGCAAAAAAACATAAAATATAGGAATTACGTAAAAGTATCATAAGTTCAAATCTAAATTCCTTCTTTCTCAGTTCCCTATTCATCCACGTTTAATTCTTAAAATAAAGCTGACATAATTGACAACTCAAAAATCATCTACAATGTTATTACTAAGGGAGTCTTTGTTTGAGTCGTCGTCATAACAAATTGATCTTTCCCTTACCTCATCCTGTTAAGCTTAATGCCTCTCAATATATTTCTTCTTCATTTATTTCAATCATTTTTCCCTTTTATAATATTTTTCATCAATATAAAGATGAGAATAATAATCCAAAATTTTTAGAGGAGGTGGTGGTGGTGTGCAATTCAAGTGATTTCCCGGTGGTGGCTACGGCAAAGGCGATGGGCTGGAGGTCAAGGCGGTTGAGAGAAAGTTGATGCAACTTGGAGTGCATGAAGGCATGATTTGTTCGAGACTTTAGTTTAGGATTTAGGTGAGTTCTAATATATATATATATATATATATATATATTGGGTGAGTCGTACGCCTTACGCTAGTAAGGCAAGGTGCACCTCAAAGCGGGCCTCAGCCAAGCTGAGGCACAAGCCTCATAAAAAAGTCGAGAGTAAGGCTCGAGACGTTTTTAATGGAGTTGCGCTAAGGCGAGCCTCATATTGCACAATTTTAAACAATGAAATCATTATAAAAAACTACTTAAATATCAAAAGGTTCTAAAATAATAGAAAAAAGCAAAATTTTCTCATTAAAAGTATCATGGCTTCTAAAACACACATCATACCAAAGAAATGCAGTGTAGCATAATGGTTAAGCATTAACATTGAACATTTATAACTGCAGCAATGCACGAGCTTAAACAATTATTTATACTGTCTGAAACTAAAAGAAAGCCTAAGCGCAGAGACAGAATTGTTAGGATAGATACCTAATTTTGAGACAATAGGAAAAAACATATTACATGATTATAGAAACCAAAAAATTTCATAGATTTAGCTAGTAAGAGCACCAAGCATCAACAGTCAAAACACACTTCCTTTTTTGAATTCCTCTCTCTCATGCACACTCCTTTCCTCCTTCCATCTTATATATATATATATATATATATATTATATTTTATAAATATATAAATTTAAATATAACTATATTATATATTATTGATAATCCACAATAGTGTCCTTAATCTGTATGTGGCTAGTTTAATTGCAAAATATCACATTTCTTCGACTATACAAAATTGATCCCAAATAGCCTCTAAGGGACTATATTGGGATCAGTTATATATATAAGTCCCACAATAGCCTCTTGTAAGTGGGCAACTTAAACTAGAATAACACATTTCTCCAACATACTATCTCCACTTTACAGAATTGAACCCAAATAGTCCCTTAGGGATTGAATTGGGATCAATTTTGCATAAGCAGGAACACATCAGCGGATTATTAGGATCAGATATGTATCACAATTTTATCAATTTCTATTAGAGGGGCCATTTGAGATTAATTTTGTATAGCCGAGCAACTAAGTTGAAGAAATGTGATATTCGGGACTAAACTGGCCACATAAGAATAGTGGAGTAACTATTTTAAGATTTTTTTTTTGTGTATATCAAAGTTTAAAATTGTGCAATCAAATATTGTTGTTTTTTTTTTTCATAAAGCAAGGTGTAAGCCTTGAGGTTTTGATGTGTAGGCCTCTAAATAAAATTTGAGACTAATTCTCCTTATGACTAAACAATAAGTAACAAAATAAAATTTTAGCTCAAATTTCTCCAAATATGGCGTTTAAAATTAATCCAAAAGTGATAAAGTAACATTGTAAAAAGTCATATCATCAGTCAATAATAGGAAAAAAAGTCTAAAATAAACAAGTAAACATAAAGGAAGTCTAGGGGCTATTTGGTTGGCTGAAAAAAAAATTATAGTGTAAATGAAATACTTTGGAATTATTTGGATGAGAGTAAATTAAATGCAAGTGATTATTTTTTTGGCATGAAGTGAAATGAATGCAATATAAAGCCCAAAGATAGCCGACAATGGGCATTAGGCAATGGTGATAGTGGCGACGGTGGCTAGCGATCACAATCGGATGATAGCGGTTGTGGTGGCAATGATGGCCAGCATTGGAAGACGGCAGCAACGTCGACGACAGTGACTGCGGTGGCCTATGACGAGAGGTGGTGGCTAGTAGCACAACGATGGTTGGCGTTGGAAGACAATGACAGTGATTGGTGGCGGCGGCAACAATGGCCGGTGACTGGCAGCAAGCAGCGGTGACCAGCAATAGTGGCCAATGACAACCAACAGCAAGCGGTGGAGGCTGATGGCTATAAGATAGCTTGCTTGCAGTGAAAAAAGTTTCACTCAAAACTGGTCGAGTTTACTTTTCATCAAAAAATAAACTAGAACACTTTACACTGCAAAAGTAATACTTTACAATGCGCTCCTTTTTCATTCAACCAAACACCAATATTTTTAAAACCCCTGCAAAACTAATACTTTATACCCACAGTACTTCCAACAATATAGCCTCTAAAATAAATATATATATTCATGAATTCAAAATTCTCTCCCATTTCTATCACTCAAAGAGTCTTCATTAGAATCAACATCATAGTTGATTGCTTTCTCACCTCCTTTATCCTCACTTGAATCAACATCTTCCCAATCCTCTTCATTATCTTCAATCTCAAACGTCTTTCTCTTCCATAATTAATAAAATCCAATAAGAATATTATTTAAAATATGACTATTGATCTTTTGTAGATATTACATAAAGTTTTATACTACCATTTTTATTACTTATCAACTTTTGCTGTTCTTGCTTCCTCCATAAAAAATCAACAACTAGGACTTTTTTCAATCTAGGAGGAGAACACATATTCTACACCCAATCAAAATTTCATGTAATGACCTTCAACTAAAAGATCAAAACCATCCAATCTTTTAAGTATCATTAAAACAAGTGCTATGCAAGAATTCAAGAATTATTAAAAAAAAAACGGATTAATCATATCCAAGAAAATTTTTGCAATTGATGATTCCGATTGAATTATAAAAAAATTGTGATTTCTAAGTGCAAAGACTTTTAAATGGTTTGAAATCAAATATATGGGTTCTTGATGATATATATATTCAATGATTTTGATTTGTGAAATACATTAGTAACCTAGACTTTAAAAATAGCTTCTATATCTTCTTTGATATTTTTTGTATTTTTAAAAACCCAGATGAATGATTAAATCATCACCAACACTATGAAACTTGTTCTACACATAGTTCGTATCATGAAAATCACAATAAACAACGTGATGCTGAGTTTGAGGAATAGACAAAGTGGTAGATGCAAAAAAAAAAATGAAAGGAGAAGTTTAATTCACTTAAGAAAAGATAATTCTCCCATGCAAACACATGCAGGCTTGGTTATGCACATTAAACGAATATTCAAACTAAAATGGGAATTGTAAGTCTGTAAATAGAAACATAAAAATATGAAGATTAGATCATAATCAAACAAAAACATCTGTGGCTATGTCATAATATCAGGACCAACAAGCCATGTTACATGAGAAATATAATCATCAAAAAACTAATCAGTTACAGACTTAATAAAAGTAAATGGAAAAACATAGAACAAATGTTATAAAGCAAAAGAAGTAATTATTAGGAATACAACAATTGGTGTGGTGTTATCTCAAGAAGGTAAACTCATTGCCTTCTTCAGCGAGAAACTATGTCTGGCTTGGCAAAGATGGACAGTTTAAGAGCAGGAATTTTATGCAATTATAAGTGCACTTAAATAATGGGAATACTATCTACTACACTAGGATTTTATCCTTTGCAGTGATAACAAGGCGCTCCAATACATAAACAATCAAAAGACTATTAACAGGATGCATGCCCGATGGATAACATTTTTACACAAATTTTCATTTGTCTTAAAACACAAATCTGGTAGCTAGAATCATGTAGTTGATGCTCTTAGTCGCAAAATTGTTCTTCTTACGCAGCTGCCTTAAGGAGCTGTATATTATGGACACTGGCTTCAATGACATTTGGAAACAATGTTTCACAGACAAATCTGTGGACGAATACACTACAAGAAAATGGGTCAATAGCAACCAAAAAATTAGAAACAAAAAAAAATTTGGTCGCTAAAGATATCTTTTAGTGACCAAAAGTAAGTGTGGCCTCTAAATAATAAGGAATATAGATATTAGCCACCAAAAAGGAAAATTGACTACTAATTTTGTCACTAAAAGTCTAGAGATTTGTTTTTCACAAATATATACATGT